GGGCTTGTGTTTGATAACAGCCCGTGGACTGAGCCGAAGTGAAATAGTCCAAACAGGTTCTTCAAGGTCAGTAGCCCCAGAAAGTCTGCAGACATTGTGGAAGGTCAAACTCTAGACATAAAAGCAATAAGTGCTTTAGTGATAAAAAAGAAAAGAAAAGAAAAACAAGGAGGCAGATGTGCAAACAATTGAACAATAATTGATATGTGCAAAAACGGGTATGCCCTGAGTGTGTACCCATGTCTCTGAATGTGTTTTAGTCTGTGAGCGGGTACACTCGCTTCCCAGAAAAGCATTGATCTTTTGCTGAAACCTTTAAGAAATCAAATAGAAATTCAGTGGTTAAAAAAGAAGAAAATGTGACAGGTTTGTGCTGGTGGCAGTTTGCGGGTTGCGCTCTCGGTTCATACCTGAATCATTTCCTATCATTACAACAGTGTGATCTGTGGAGTACAGTGTGAAGAAGATCTCGAGCAACACACCTCTTCTGTTTTGACAGTAATACACGTCAAATAATCTCATCAGTTTTATGACACAGACAACATTCACCAGAGGTTCCTTTTTTTTCCATCCAGTCTCTTTACGAACAATGAACCTTTTGTACTCTAGCTGCTTTCCCACTATCTTTTTATGAAAATAAGCAGAAGGTATTGGACTGTCGTCATGTGCCTTTATCTTTCTTTCTCTCATGTACTCTTTATTCCTTTATCTCTCTCTCCTCCCCGACCTGGAAAACTTGCCAAATGACTAGAGCCCCAAAGTGGATCAGTTAGTGGCAGATTTAGATTTGGAGAAAGCTAATTCCCTTCCCAGTCAAACCTGTTTATTCAGGAAGACTCTCAGGGACACAAGGCCCGGGAGATTCCCATATGCTCTGCCACCTTCCTCCCAGCGATCACCTGGAGTAACCGTCTAGCTCCCTGGAAATATAAGCAACTCAACAGTTCCCCTTATAAAACCCTTCTCCCAATATTCTTCTGCTCAGCTGTACCCAGCCCAAACCCCCATCTATCAACTAGTTGGCAATGGCATTGTTTTTAATCATCAGAACCTCAAAATTATTATTATCGCTTCTGATGCGGCAATTAAAACTTCAGGTCAGAGGCACAACGAGCGGTGATCAGCAGCCGAGCTGAGAAGTTTTAATTAGACGATCAGAACCATTAATGCACAAAAAAAGGTGTGCGCTGGGAAATTAACGGGAACGTCTTAATCAGGGTTAGCGACTCCGAAGAGGAGTCAAGTGAACAGAGAGCAAAAAACAAATCATTTCCGCACCACTGGGACAAAACTCAATTAAATATGCATGCGGAAAAATGGAAATTTCTCAGCATCCGCTGCACCGACTGTTAGAAAACTGTGGCAAAATCTCACGGCGGGGTCGGCGACCTGCTTATTGTTATTCTTCTGTAATAAAATGAAAGAGGGGCCAGATGCCGGGGTCTGGGTGCTGTGGCATAGTTGTCCATCAGTGGCTTTCCGCTTGACTTCCTTGTGGCTGTTGCCTCTCTACCACGCAGGGAAGAGGAGAGACAGAACGAGAGAGAGACGGAGAAACATTCCCCCGTTGCAAACTGGAAATTTACAAAAATAAAAACACAGTCATTCTCGAGCAGATCTGTGTACGCTCGCCTCTGTGGCTCTGTGGCTTTCCTGAAACACGCACACACACACACTCTCACACAAATACCTCCCTTGAGAGCCAGAGACATGAAAGGTTCACTACACACTGGGAGCCGATTAATCTGCCAAAGGTTCATGAAGTTATAACCGGACTCCTTTTTTTTTTTTTTTTTTTTCAAAAGAACTACTGCAACTCTCGGCTTCATATTGTAAAATAATCCTGAGCTGAACAGACATCTCCCAAACCTTGTTTGTATTAATTAACTTGAGATATTGCGGGGGGTTTGTCCCTGTGTCAGTCATGTTGGAACTCAGCAGGAATCTACAACAGGCTCTGTATCTGTGTTTGATTACTTGAAGAGATAAGCCTCACTTTAAACAGGTAATATCTACTTCTCTTATACGCAGACCCCTCCTGAGTGCTCACCTCATACAAACTGAAACACTGCAGGGAGTAGCCGTGTTTGTGGGGCAGTGCTGTTCTCTGCATTGCCAACAAAGGAAAGTTGTTCAATTTTCTTTGTGATGTTACATCTTCCGCAACTTGATTTCGCGAGCTCTTTGTACATAAACCAGTCGGAGTTGGTACATTAGACAGATGGAAAGCCGCGACCCTGCCAGTCACAGCCCCTTCTTTACTCCCACAACTACAGAGGGCAAGATTACAGTCCGAGCACGTTCACACAAATAATGCACTTCCAACAGCGTTATTAGGATTTGAAACGCCACTTGATTGGGCACGATATCATTCTGGCACACAAACAGAAAACCAAAAAGACCTGTGGGGCTTAGAGCCGCGGAATAGATGGTTTGTCAGTGCGTAGGGCTGGATGACACAAACCGTGTCATCCAGCTCTGAGTGGAAGCAGAACCCGAAAGAACTTGTCCTCTTTGACTGAAGATGAAAAGGAACTTGATGTAGTGCAAATGTATTCAAAATAGTTTCTTGACTTTTTCTTCATGTTTTTGCCTTATACAGACACAAAATGGCTCTTCTTTGGGGTCCTGCACTGTTTCCAGTAAAAATAATGTCACTCTTAACGTAAGCAGTGGGAAAAATTAGTTTCAGCTGTTGTGTTCAAACTCAAACCTGCCTACTTTTTTTCCAACTCCCCGTGCTTACCGAGGTGTCTCCTCTTTGACAATTAGCACACCAGGCTAAAACAGAGTGCAAATAATGTCCAATGCGTGTGACAGTGTTGTTTTTCTTTCTGATATTCATTAACAAGGCAGAATGCTTACTGGACTCTCAAAAAGGTGGGAGGTTGGTCCCAGAGGGAAAAGTTGTTCTTTCATGTAGGTCCCTACAGATTTGATCTCTTTGTACGCTATCATGCACACAAACGACTTGAGGTAAACAGCTTTGTGTTACCATAGCAATCTTAACTGTAAGCAATGGCAAAAAGCTGCAGTGGACAGAAACCCATAGCATGAATTATAGTTCAGACTGTTTCCATGAGGTCTTTTACCATAGCTTGTTTCTCCCTCAAGAAAAGGACACATATTTATTTTGTTTGGATCATGGATCATACCTTTTAAAGGAAAACAATGAACGTGTAGTATCTAATCATTCAGTTTTAGGCCCATTAAGCTCAGTGGGCAACAGAAAAGCAATAAATAAATCAGCACCAATGGAAAGAAACTAACATGTGTGGTTATATCTTACAAAGAGCTCGAGATTTCAATACACGGGAAATTAGTACTTAAAGCTTGAAATACTGAACACTAAACGGAAAAAAAAAATCACCTCCACGGCAACACCCAAATGACCTCAAGCCTGCATCTGAGAGTTTTTCTGAGAAAAAAGAAAAGAAATTTATGTCTTCCACTTCCCAATAGTTTTTCCAGCTGATACCTTTTTTCAAAATTGCTCTCTTCTCAACGCTGACCCGTTCAACCCCCGCCTGCAATTGTCTAAGACTAAATTGTACTGTAATGTGCCGCTGATATACGGTCCCCTCAAAACTGCATAATTCCTGAAGTCATTGTTTCAGAGAGGAAGCCTGCAATGTAAATACAGTAACTGAGAAAGCATGTGTGGGTAGCACTGGGTTCATTGTCTGGCGACGGGGTGATCTGTAAACTCCTTCAAATTGCATATCCTCTAATGATTCCACAGCTTTACAAAAGAAAATGAAAACAGGATTTTATGTTGCTCCGATGTGATTTACATAATGCCGGCAATGGCTCACACATGATTGTGCCTGGCTTTGTGGCTGAGGGAAAATGAAGAGGCTTGTTTTTATTGATATAGAGAGTGGATTGAGTCTTTAAGATAGAACTTTGTTACCCCTGACATCACACATTTTTCTTACTTCAAGTTAGTAGTGTGCATTATCTTTAGAAAATGTGTGTTCAAACAGGCACAAATGCATTATTGTTGTTATACAAAGCTGTAAAGCTTTTCCACCTATTGAATGAAAAAAAGAAGATACTCCCTCTGTTGTACTCAGTGAGTCTTTTTATATTGTACATATTCAGTTGCTTTCCACCAATGGAATTGCTAAAAAAAATGTCCTCAGACGGTGACCTTTGGGCTTCTGGAAATAAAGCGAAAGGTAACAGAGTAAAGTTTCTGCCCTAAAAAGGCATCTCTGGACATGGAATGCCACTTGCAGCTGCTCCTGCTTCATCAGAAGACATGTTACAAAGATAGCCCCACTTGGGTTGAAATAATGCCACCCATTCCTGCCCCAAAGTACACTCTATCATATGGTATTGTTCAGAGAGGGGGCCTCTCTGAGCGGGGGGAAAATGTTGAGACTCTTTATGGTTCACGAAAACACCTTGAAATGATATTCAGAATCGAGAAACTACGGCATTTTATGTATTTGACAAACTATTCTCATTCCAGCAGTCTCTGAATAAACGGTAATTTATTTGAACCCGATTGCTAATATGAGATCCACAACGTCCAAAAGCTCTCAGGATTTTCTCTCCTCATCCTGACAGCTTAAATGCTGTGCAGTCCCCCCACTCAGTGTCAGGACCATAGCCTCTTGAGGTGAAAGTGAAGATAACATTTCACAGTGTCTATATAGCGCTGTCATGTGAAGGATTATGTGGCCGTGTACTTACGGCTTGTAGAACTGTAGGGGGTCTGATAGCTATCTGCCTGTGGTTTTTCTGCTGCCGGTACTGCTGCGTATTCGTCTCAATTTTTACACCACTGATTTAAAAGCTGACCAAAGAACTGGGACTTTGACAGATATGTACAGTATGTCCCTGTCCTTCCAGTCTAGTGTTGCTATTATTAAGTGCTTTTTGGTGCTTATTAATAGCAACAGCCACTGTTGTATGCACCAATTTATATTTTTCCAATGTGATGCTTGAAGGTTCAAGCATGGAAGATGTGTTTTAGTTTAGTTTAGTTCGTTTTTTAATGATTTTGAAACCACGTGGAGCTTGTTTAAAGAAAATGCTCGTACATCTTTAGTAAATTTTTCTGTTTTTGTTCTTGTCTCCTTTTCTTCAGCTGAAAGGAGTTTATGCACTGAAACGACCTCAGGAAAACCCAAGATGGCCGCCAAAAGGAAAGGTGGCCTAAAACTCAATGCTATCTGTGCCAAGCTGAGCCGCCAAGTGGTGTTTGAAAGCAGCTCCCAGAACGCAGAAGGAGACCAGAGTGTAGCAGACAACAGCGAACGTGGCAGTTCTCACTACGACGACAACGAGACCAACTTCCCCGAGAGCCTAAGCCAGAGCCTCGAAGAGGACCAGAAGAGACGCGAGGCCATCGAGAAGTGGGTCAACGGCGAGTACGGCGACGAGCCCCCAGCTCCCGACGACGATCAGGAGCCTGAGCTCAAAGTGAGCAATGACGAAGATGGCCCTCCCGAGGGCGTGTACATGGTACAGCCCAAAGGCTGCAGCGACGACGAAGACAATGCCGAAGAGGCTGAGGCCACCGTTGGGTCTCATGATGGCAGTTACCATGACGACAAAGACGCCGAAGACAAGCTTTCAAAAGAAGACAGTTACATGCCGCCACGCGAGGCCCGGAGTCGCCAAGCAACTTTCTCCTCTCCAGGTACGTTTGTTCTGTCTCCCGTCACCAATATCCTGACATTTTAGACCAACACCACCCAAAGAGCATTCCTCTTCACAGTATTACGGGGTAAAGGCGTAAATAGAGGAGGGGCATCACTGCCACATCCACATAAGCTTAAGCGTGCCCATTATTGGAAAGAGACACTCTAGAGTTACATTATGAATAGCCAGTGACATTATTACTTCAAAGTCAGATTCAACTGGCAGGCCAGAGGGGAAAATAGAGAGGAACTTGTGTGTGCTTAGCTGTATGTAGAAATTCATAAACGGAGAAGGCTCACGATGTTAGGCATTTCAGCGTTTATGCGTTCTCCCAGCAGCTGAGGACCAAGAGCACATGGCAGGGCCAGGCTAAGCTTCATATTACACCCAGGATTACATACTGAGTCTTTGATTTTTTCCCTAAGCTCACTAAACTTAGCCACTGCCTGGAGCTCCTCTGTTACACAGAGTCTTCAGTTATGTGATTTTTTCTTTCTCCGCTGTTCACCATTCAGAGAGATCGGTGTGAGATAAAGTCAGGAATAGTGAACTTTTGTCACAGTGCCACGTCGTACTTTAATTTGATCTTTGATTTAATGCCTCAGTTTGTTTTTTTTTGTTGGCAGACATGAAACTATTTTGATAGATACCAAAATACAACACACACTGAGCCCTTATTGTAAATGACTGACTTGTTTAATTGTGACATGATGTTCCATCTCTGATTATCAAAAGATAAAGCTGGCAGAGACAGTATGAGTAAATGGCACAAATAATCTTCTAAGAAACTGCTGTTTAGTGTTATACACTTTGTGACCTTTGAAACTTGACACATTTGTGCTTGTGAGAGCGAGTGGCCTTGTGCAGCAGAAGTTAAAATGCGGTTATAAAAAGTAGGGAAAAAAAGCACAGCTCAGTTATATGAATAGATTATGACTGTTTCACACAGAGGGAAACAAACATTTTGCAGGTGAGACCGGTTGTTGTGGTACAGAAACAAGTTTTGTTTTGTGCTTGCTCACCTCAGTTTAACAGTTTTCTGGGGCTTTCATCTAGGTTTAGGTATGTACCTCCTAGTCATGTACACATGCTCCTTTTTGTCATCAGTTCTGCAATCTTTCACCAACTGTACAGCAGTATTTGGACATACTCAGAACTGAACGCACGGGTTTCTCAGAAACTCAGCAGGTTTCATTTCAAAGGCAGATGAAAAAGTTCTCTGTGGTTTAAATTAGTCATTTTGTTTATTTCAGGGCCATGAAAAAGGGTGCCTGTAAACATGTGCAACTATCTCGTAGTTTCCCTGCACCTTTCCCTCTGCTGGCTGCCTTAAATCTCACAACAAAGCCAGCATTTCAAGACCGAGGGGAGAGCACGCTGCATCAGTTGCAAATTTTATCTACAGATATATTTTTTTTCTTTTTCTGAGTTGCTCTTTGTTGATTGTAACTAGGGCATCTATATTGCCATGTTTCTGCTCAGCTCACAATTAAAACATTTTTCCTCCTCTCTCTTTCTCTCGCTCTCCTCCTCGCTGCTGTCTTTCAAAGGCTGATGTGGAGTGCACATAATTATGCATATAAACATAGTGGCTTAATTATCTCTCACAACATCAGTGACAATGTAATTAACAAACATTGCAAGATCAATGAGAGAAACTGCGACCTTCAAAACATTTAACTCCTCACATTGAGGCATCGTGCAGATTTCCTATGAGTGCAAAACCCCAGAATACTTTTCCTAGATAATTTAGATGTCGCATTAGAGCCCTCATAAGCCAGTCAATTGAAAAAAAAAAAAAACAGTGAATAAAAATATGAAAGCAATGACAGAGATGCTCATAGCGATGGATCAAACGGGCTCGACCATGACTTTCATTTGCAATTCTGGGTTCACCCTAAAAGGTTATTGTTCATTTCAAGCTATTTCAAAGCTCCCTCTATTTACTGGCCTGTTAATTAACTAAGCAAACATTGAGGAAGTTTGAAGCTCCAGACTTTTTTGTGGAACAAATTACATCGACCAGATGCATTTAATGTCATCTATTCACTGCAACTCCTTAATAACTTTGCACTGTCCATTTAAACAAAACACTCTCAAACTGATTCTGTGATATCAACATAACTCGCTTTTTAAAACTGTTAAAATGATTACACTTAATGGCAGAATCTCACTATTACAGGAATACAACACTTTTACGGTTTGAATAACTGCTTATTATTGAAATCAAAGGTTTTATATTAAGAATTTGGGCCTCTGTTCTGGCACTCTTTAGAAGGTGTTTAGACTCTAGATTGGTCCATATATAGCCACAAGCTTGCATCTTTATCATCAGCAACACCTCTGACTCTCGTCCCAGTAAGCAGTGTAGCCATGCCATACTGATGGCCATGTTTGGTTAGCAAATGGAGATATAATGCCCATCTGTTATCATATCTTGGATGGAAAATGTGGTCTAATTGCCTCAAATATAGACAAGGCAGGTCTGTGTTGTGTGTTGGATTTTGCTTGCCTGAAGTGTCAAGATTAGAACCACTTGTTTGTAGATTTTTCCAGTGTCACCAGAGAGAGTGCAGATGGAAATGTCAGATGTGTTAGAGAATAGTAGGGGAATTGGTGATGGCAGAAGAAAAAGAGTGCATTATTTATTTTTTCATTAATCGTCTATACTTTTCAGGTGGGTGGTGACAGAGGTGTGGGGTGAAACCGAACATAATTTCCCAACTGGTGGCACATGAGGCAAACAGAAAGGGGTTGAGTAAAAAAGTCATTTACATGGTGACAGTCATAATCCCTTCAAGACTCATCATTTGCCTTGCATTGATAGTATGTCACATGACAAGGCTCATTTAGCAGAGAAGGTGATTGTAATACCCTGGGCAAATATTAAAAAAAAGGAATATGGCTTGCACATGAAACTATGTAACCACCTTTTGTAGGCTTCACTGCCTTAATTTTGGTGCTCCACCGTGATTTGAGATACTCTAAATATAGAAGAAAAAATATTCAAGCAAGGGCAAGATTTCAAATGAGATTAAATAAAATGTTATTTTTTCCGTTTTAAATATACTCATTTCGATGTTTTTTTGCTACTGTCAATTCATGAAAAACTGTCCGGTAAAAACGTGTATTTGACAGTGTTACTCTGTGGTTTCGGTACATATAAAAACACGTCATATCTGCCAAATCAATCTGCAACAAACATGTAGGTATATCCTCTCAAACACATAATCTATTTCTCTTAAATTTTTCATGCCTCTTCGATCCACCAGATACTATTTCATACTGATCCACAGAGCAGAGGAACAACCCCAACATGGTGAATGGAAATTTGGGGATTATTTTACATGCAGCACAGGAGATGTGAAGAGCAGGGCCTGGAGACTGATTTAGCAATAACTGAGAAATATGAGACAAGAGCAGAAATATTTGTGTATTAATTACCTCGGATGGTAGGTGGTATTACCTCCTGCCAGCTCATGTGTGCTCTAGTGATGAAAACAGCGATAAAACAAATTTTTAAAAAAGACTTTGGACCTCGTCCCTGTGACTGTGCCAAGGCTGAGTTAAGAGGACCAAATGGGCTACATGGCCCTTTTAAAACGATCACCTGGTGCATTACTAGCATATCTGTGTTCACGATCCTGCCTAATATGCAAAGAGGCACAACGGGAGGCATTTGGAAATGGGTTAGATCTGCAAACACAACTGTTTGGAGAAAGGTTGCCTCACCGCTCCTAATTACCTCTTTCACTCTTTTCTTTCTGTCTTAGTCATTTTTTTACTGTACCATTTCCTCTTTATCCAAGTACTTGTTCTTTCACAGAGCTTGGCCCCTTCCATATTCTTTGGCTAAATCCTCCTTTCCTTTCTTCCACTCTCTGACCACTTCAGCTAACCTGTATCAAACTTAATGAGGCAGAATTAATCTTCACATAATGCAATTAAACTACACATTGACTGTGTTTCAACTGTGTCCTTGGCAAAGCTGTCCGATTAAATGAAGTCTTAAAATAAAAATGATGTTTCATTTAATAAATCTGAAGGAAAGAACTTTTTCTTTTCACTTTATAAGTTGAGAGGTTGAATGTTCTAAAAATAAATTAGGACACACTTCACTTTCATAGATGTGCTAAATCCTGCCAACATTTCTGTAAAGATTTTATTTAAAATTCCAGTAATGATTTTAAACATCAGTGGTTCGTTCATTTTTTCTTTTCAAGTATTGTTTTGTTAAGGAAAATATCTCTAAATAAGTGGTGAATAAAATTGGAAGCTTTAAGAAATAAAATTATTCATTCAATAAAATATTCATTTAAAACATGAACTTCAAATTTAATATTCCAATTACTATTTATAATTTAAGTATATATAAAGTAAGTATTTAATGGATATAAATAAAATAAACAAACAAACTAAGTTTGTCTATCCTGTGTAGTCTTAAGTACAGTCACCTGTAAATTCTGCAGGACTCACAATGCAACCAAAACAGGAAGAGTCTCAGACTGCTTGTTTGTAGACACATAAACACACAGACATTTACAGATGTTGTAGCTTGCAGTGCAAAAGCACTTTTCCTGTTGTCAAATCTGCTATTGTTCCTATATCACAAGAATAAAGGCTTCACGTGGTTTTTAAAATGCTCATTGTTCCGAATAATGGGCAGTTAAGTAGGTAGTATTTAGTTTGTTGTCTTACATTTGAACAATTTACAATTAATTGATTCAACTAATATATACAGTTATTTAGCAAGAAACAAATATTTTTGATAGTATACTTGGTCCCAAAAAGTAACTGGTTCCCAATTTGGCCCAATAACAATTAAAAAGGGATAAATGCATTCAGTTGTACATTATGACGGGATCAAACTGCAGTGATTTTACAGAACTGTGATTGATATTCTTTTTTCTATTTATTTGTGCAGGAGAAGCGTCTGCTCTGCGAGACTATGCAGCCAACACCATGAATGAATTTCTTGGAATGTTTGGTTATGATGACCAGCAGGTAAGGGATGAGCTGACCAAGAAGATCAGCTTTGAGAAGCTCAAAGCTGCTACCTCAGATCCGTCGTCCCTCAGCAGTGAAGAGGCCTCGCGGCGCGCCCGCTTCTCAAAGTACGAAGAGTACATTCGAAAGCTCAAAGCTGGTGAGACCCTCCCTTGGCCCATGCATGCTTCCCCACCTAAACCGGATGACCTCAACTCAAAACTGACCCAAGACAAGAGCGCTGCCATGCTCCAGACTTCCGGGTGCCTACCAGGGACTGAGGCACAGATCTACCCATCCAGCCTGGACCACAAACAGCCAGTGGCACCTCAGCTGGGCAACTCCCAGCCGCCCAATCCTTCTCACATGCAGAATGTGGCCTCCCGAGCCTCCAAATACGACTTCTTCATTCAGAAGCTGAAGATGGGCGAGAGTTTACAGCAGCAGAACGGTAATGCGTACAAGCGACCATCGAAGTACGACCTGGAGAATGTCAAGTTTCTGCACCTCTTCAAGCCCGGCGAGGGCAGCCCCGACATGGGCGGCGCCATCGCCTTTAAGACTGGCAAAGTGGGTCGCCCTTCCAAGTACGACATCCGAACAATTCAGAAGCTAATGCCAGGAAACCCCGAAGCGTCCCTGATGCCCAATGTCCTCGCCTCGGCGCCGGGGAACCCCGGAGCTCCCGGCGTCCCCACCGTGGGCTCAGCCGGGGCCAGTATTGCACCGGGGCTCACTATGGACCAGACAGGGCACCTCAGTTTCAATGCTGCTGACTACATCAAATCCAGCTTTTCCAAGACTGACTCCATCACCACAGGCACAGTGTCGTCTGTTAAGTAAGTTTGATGAAACTTAATTATAAGATACCAGAAAGCCCCGAACCAAGATTTTATTGGCTTCCATTCTGCATCAAATTTTAACCGGGCTTCTTTTTTTTCTAATAGACACAAATTGTGCAAATTTGTATCCAAGTTACTCAATGTATATATCAAACTTGGCAGTTTGTCATGAAATTTAAGAACGTTATGTTCTGATTGAGCAATAGATAAACACAAACAGTGTGGCACTATAAGCCCCATTAAAAGTGCCAATGGCCTTATGTCTCTCACCAAATATGATTAAATTAATATCTGTTTTTACTATATTTAGACGACTTCCAGACAAAAAAACAGAACTACACCTCAGTATCAGCTATGTTAAGCCCTCCTCAAGAAGCACATTTTGAATGATCGTCTATAACTGAGTAGGCAATTGATAATAGCATGTAACTACGCTGCTCACCCTTTTGGGTATGGAAATTGTGAAGTATGCACTTTCTCACTTAGAATACTTTATGATTCACTACATTTATTATTTTCAAATTATTACGTTATTGGGTTATAATCCCCTTCGCGAAATCAAATGAGTTGTTATTAAAATGCTATGTTGAAGTTTACTGGTGGAGTGAAAAGATTCCAGACACACATTTATGTCCACTTCACACTAATGGTCTCTCAGAGGAACCCCTTGGACCTAATGTGAAGCTCACATACACTTAACTGCTTCTGTGAGTCAGTTAGGCTAGCACAAAGGTAATTGCTACCTTCATAGATGCCAACAGGAATGTAGTGTGAAATAGCGCATAGTGCCCAATAGATCCACGACATGATGAGTTGCGAAGGCGCATGAAGTGTTTACTTGCTGTAGCACTCCGTGGAGACTGATTTAGCACAGTCATCGCAAAGTGACTGACTTCTTTCGTCTGGCCAGGGTGTAACAACTCTCCCTTTAATTACTTTGGAGCCATGACTAACCTCTCGGCGAGTTGCTGGGCCGGCTCGACACTGCCTGATGAGTGCACTTTAAAGGAAGCAAACGAGGGGTTCAGGGAACTCACCTACGGCTGTGTGTGTTACCAGTAGGAAAGGGATCCCTGAGTGTGTTTGATTGGTGTTGACCTTGTCTTTAGTTAGTCGAGACCTATCAAAGACACTGTTTAAGAGCCCTCGGGCACCTTTCCCTGAGGCCTTGGCCTTTGTCTGGTTGGGGCCCTTCAAAGCTACGGTCTTGGCTAACTGACCCAGTCTAATAGTTTTACGTAGGGAGGACATGAGGTACTTGGGAGAGTGTGTGGCGGTGCATCCTCCCCTCTGGGCCAGATTAACCTCAGGTCATCCCCTGTGTGGAGCTGCTCACATGGCATTAAATGCCACTTGCTGAGAGGGAGCAAACAGAACCAGTTCTGTATTATGGCTGTTATTCCACAGGCAGCACTGCTGCCAGCCTCCCAGAGAGATCGTCACGCAGGTGACAGAGAACAAACACGCTCTCTCAGCCTGCCATTTTTATGTGATAAATTTGTCTTCATTTCCTGTCTTCAAATGAATTAGTTTGTATTTAAACTTCATGCATTTAGAGTTGTCTTACATCTTTGTTTGATCTGGTTCTACACTGACATGAGTCACTGAAGACACACTGTTCAGGGGTTATCAGAAAAGACCTTTTCAGGGCTTTCCCCCCCTCCTATTAACCGGTTTTGCATATGAGCACCCACCAAAACACTCCATAAAAGATTAATGTAGTTTTGCGCCCGCAATTTGCCTTCTGTTGGTTGGGAGACCATGTATCACCATTTGTGCCTTCCATCCTTAATTCATACGGCACACGAAAACACTGTCATGCCAAAGGAAAATGTATATTGATAGTGAGAAGTTTGGGAGTGGTCTGTAAGTAAATGTTGTGACAGTTTGTTCTTATTAACAGCAGCCAGCGCTACCTCAGCATTAATCCTGTGTGTTTTGTGTGTGTTGTTGCATTAGGAATGGTCTGCCACCAGATAAACCACCCAGCGATGACATCAACCTCTACCAGAAATATATTGCCAGGTATGCAAATTCTTCAATGTGCCACACCGACAGAAATATGCCCAAAACAGGGGCAAAAGTATTCATTTATTATTATCGTTAATATTATTATTGTATGTACTGGTGGGGCAATTCATTCAGTGATGTAACTACATTATAGACTGGTATGAAAATGTTCTGTGGGCAGTAAATTAATGAAGATGACTCCAATTTATTTGATGAGACGAAGTGGAAGGATGAGGGTTAATGAAAGAGAAATGGTCTGATGATAGTTCACTTTAACTGGATGAATAAATGCTCAGATAGTGAATAGCACTAAAATGTGTCATTTCTAGCCACCGCTGACTCAGAGATGACATGAGATCAGGCTGTGTTTCTCTTGAGTTCTGCCATCCAAACACATGACACACTGGCTGATCTAAAAAGTCATTCATAGCTACAGAGACAAAAGCTTCAGAGGAGGGAAGGTATCTAATGTTTCAGTGGACACAGAACAATGCACCCCATTCCCGATTCATCTTGAGCCGACAGTAGAAAGGTGATTATCACTTGTTTGTTTATTCTGTTTAAAAAGAAAGAAAAACAGCATTTGAAAAGCCAAAGTGGCTGTGGCGTTAATGATTACTTCTCCAAGCCATAACATGAAGGGCACAAATCAAAGCCTTGGCACAGACAGAAACACACATGCACACGTTGTCTTCTACACTCACACACACACACACACACACACACATATATACACACACGCACACAAACCCCTTCCTTGGACTGATTACATTTTGCAAGAAGATTTAATTAAGGAATTTTTAATGAGGCTTCTGCTGGCACTGCCAAGAACTGTTTTGATATTTGCGCTGCATAATGCATAAAATTTGTCTAAACATCTCGGCAGTTGATGCACGGGGAGGTTGCAGATAAGCCCAGATACAGTTTCAATTTCCGTGTTGAGGTTGGAAAAAAAAAAAGAAAGGAAAGAAGAGGAGGGAGGGGAAAAATGGAAAAGGAGGGCTCATAAAAAGGGCAAATGTAGGAGCGAGAATGGAGACTGAAGCGGGGGGAAGGGTCCCTTTTTCAGCCATGGCTAATGAGTGCACAATAAGACCAAAATTGAGCTTTATAAATATGTTTTTATGCAGTTATCACAGACACAGAAAAAAAAGTTTTTTCATTATAGATTTGAGTCGTTTAAAGAGGTTCCCTGGCAGTGTTTAGCCACAGTTTAGAGGCTTTCATGCACCCACCGTTGCCTCAGCACTTTGATCTGTGTATTTCTATTGTAACTGGAGATGCGCTGCAATCTCTGTATCGTGGCAATATTAATATTTAATCTGCTGCTGAATAGCAGAGGCCCATTAGGCCCCCTGACGCGGCAAGTGGGAATTGTCCAGAGGCAAAGTGATACAGCTGGGCAATGAGCAGAGGGGTGGGCCATCGTCTCGGGGGATTGGTTGGGGGGCTTTGTGTGCTGATCAATTTTGAATATACATGTGAATATGCGAGGGAAAATGTGAAGAAAACATTTATTGTTGAGATATATGTTCATACATACATAGTGATAATTTGACTTCTGGTTCGATTTTTCTAAGAGCCGTCAGACTTTCCTAACACTCCCTCTTCTGTTTTGCCAAATCTACAAAGACACACACACACACACACACACACACACACACACACACACACACACACACACACACACGCACACACACACACACACACACACACTCATAAAGCCAACTTAAAAACAGTGGTGGAAATGCTGTTCAATTAACTTAATGAACTCAGGAAAGTGATCTGTAAATGCAGCTCTGGGATAATCCTAACAAGGAAAAACAGCAAGAGAGATGGAAAAATATTACTTAGGCCCCTTTTCCCCCTCTCCCCTGCACTGTAGCAGATGGAGTCCTTGGCAGCGGCAGTGCAAATGTTTATTTGTGTGTTTTCACTGGTAATTGGAGGATTTTAACAGTCATGATCATCTGGCTTATGGTCACCACCATAAAAGTGGTTGTAGTCAAGCATGTAGCTGCCTTAAAAAAAACTTTCACCAAATTAAAATCTCTTTTCCAGGCTCCATTTGAGAAAGTAAAAAGAAACAATGCTCAAAAATGTACCTCACAGAGTAAGACTGCTGTTAGTCAGAGAGATCCGTGCATTGATTAGACAAGGACCCAAAAGTGATGAGAAATAAAGAAATCACCGGGTTCTTATTGTTATAGTGGCTGTGTGTGTAACCGTAAGGAGATGGGATTTTAGCATAACAAGTGTCTCTTATGGCTCCTTTGGAAATAAACGAAGATAATTTGGTTGAAATTGGTGTGACAGATGGGTAAATTGTTCTAAGAGTGTGGAAAGCAGCAGTCAGTTTGAAGGTGTGAGCTGTGTTACATTGGAGGTGAGATGAATACAAAGCCTTTGAGAACTCCTTCACCTGTTTCATCCGTAGTGTTTTAGGCATTTTTAATGATTTCTTCACTAATCATTTGGAACACCATTTTTGTCGGTTGCTTCATTTTTCACCTAGAGACTGTTTCCTCTCTAATAAGCTCTGATGAGTTGCCCGGTTTTAAACCAGAAGCTGGCGGAGCTCTATTCAGTGCTCTGCATGCTTGTTAGAATATGCATGTGTTGAAATTTGTCCTGTAACTTGGTTTTCAGGTTCTCTGGAAGTCAGCACTGTGGGCATGTGCACTGTGCCTACCAGTACAGGGAGCATTATCACTGCATGGACCCCGATTGTAACTACCAGGTCAGCGTGAGTACTTTCTCACTTTTTCTGAGCATAACCCAAATACACATCTGAATTCTATCCAGTGTGCCAACAAACTTCAAAGGCATTCTTCACTTGTTAACACCTGCTCGAGTAATTAAAGGACATTGTTTAAGACATGAATCATGCGGGGATTAAATACTAAAGGTTTAAAGTTTTTTATTCTGACACACAATGAGGAGAATGTGGTGCCACCAGGATAGGAAAGATATTATATCCTTTAATACTATTGTTACATCAATGCTAACACTCCTGTGAGACATTTCTTTTTCTCAGATGTGTTTACAGGCTACAAATATTTCCATATGTTCAGTTTTCAGGCACCTGAAGGCCTGGCTGGTATTTGACTGACTGGCCTTTTTTTTCTTACAAAGGTTTTTTTTGTGCGGAGGTTTGAGATCTAATTTTGTTTTCCGCCTATTTGTTCTATTTTTCTTTTGCTTTGTAAAAGACTTTTCCTGCTTTTTAATAAACACTTATATTAATCATGCTGCTATCCCAAGAGACATCAGGTGCCTTACGTGATGTCTTGTGGAAGGAGAAAGACACAAAGCAGATCATGATAAAAGCCCTGTGTTTGCCGTAGCATATGGCCTTAGAGTGTTAGACAAACATGGGAATATTTGTCAAAGATGTTAAAAGGGAGGGGGGCAGAATCCACTGGCAGCTAAAGCAGGGATTTCTCTTTCCTTTCTTAACAATTTCCTATATTAAGCCATCTTCCGCTGCAATTTTGTGTCTGCTCCTGATCAAGTGAGATTACTTCATGATAAATAATGTTTACGTTGGGAGAGGCATCACAGATCCAGGCTTTCATTTTCTGCTTTATTCAAAGGAAAATCATTTCATGTCATCATTTAGAGCGTTAGTTCAGGTTATCATGCCAATTTCCACGGTCAGGTCCCCATTTCTTTGTTGTTTCCATGTTGCGTGGAAACACAGAAAAGCTTTGGAGGCCAGCTCTGGAGATATCAATACACTGAAAAAAACAGGCCGGCTGCGATGAGCAGTGCTTTTCAGAGCGATAACTCATGAAATGTTACATGACACACACTCCTGGAATATTATCCCACTGCCAGCCTGCGACTGATTGGCTGAGTCCTAACATTCTCCTTTCATGGACTTGTACATGAGGGAGAGTGTGCATCTTGCCACACTAGTGGGAATCCTAAAATAAATGTAGCAAGTGGCTCCCAACCTTCATCACCACTCAACTGAAAATTAGATCTTTTTCCCAGTCAGCTCTCTCCATGGCTTATTTTGGACAGCTTGATGGATCGAATGTACCATGACCGCAGTTCATCTTGTCTTCCGGTCATTATCCACCATTACATATCAGAAAGCTCTAAACTGGAGGACTAAGATCAGGATTATTCGAAAAGAAATTAGTGAAATAAATTCAATAAGTGATGAAGCGTTCATCAGACGGATTAACAAATCGTAATGAAGTGTGCGCTCCTACAGGAGGGAGACATCTCAGAAACATACAGTGGGAAACAGTCCAAGAGCCAGAGAACAAACAGCTGTGTGAGATCTTAGCTTTTTACACGGAACACATGACACAAAGCAATTACCCTACTTTGTACAGCAATTAGTTGCTTTTTTAGAAAAGTTCTTTCTGATGTTTTTCCCTCAACTGCAGATAGATATGGATTGAAGACAGAACTGTCTCATTGATTTAAGCTTCTCCTGTTACAGTTTCTGTAACATCAGCTTAAACCCAATTACAGCAGATTTGGTTGGTGCAGGTCTCTGTGGAGCGACTTTTTCCTCTTTTCTCTTCCTGACTGGGTGTGGGAGAGATTTTTTTGTTTTTTTATTTATTTATTGTGATTTTACAGGGCGGGTTTCATAGCATGTTCATTCATCATTGCAAGGAAAACCTGCAGCAATATCAAGTGTTGGTGCTTTAATTAAAAATGGAATCATATCTCTGCGAATTGAAAAGGAAAATGTTCTTGGATGACTTGTTTGTTTGTTTGTTTATGTTGTCTTCTGTTTTCCCCTGTGCACGTCTGAGAAACCATCAGCATGGAACATTAGGTTTTGTTGATTTTTTTTCCAGGGCCAAAAATCATGAGAACTGTGATCTTGCATGTCAAGTAATTCCTTTTGGGTTTTAAGGAAATAGATTTTATTGGAAAGGGGAAAAAAAAAAAACATTTGTGTTTTCGGAGTATATTTGATGTGACATGCTCAGGCTTCTCTTGCGCTCTTGAAGCCTCGAGTGCTGCTTTTGGAAAGGACGTAACTTTGAGATATGCAGAGTAAATCAATAACCGCAGAACACGTCATCTTTAAAGGCATCCTGGCCCTCTCCATTGCAGTGTGTACATCCCTCCCCAACTGCCAACTGGCTCCTGCATGTTGCAGCTGCTGCTTCCACAGAGATAAAATGACTTGTTGCTGAATCTGTGACTGGTTTAAATAAACACCAACCTGTTGCCATACATTTCCCCCACTCCCCTTTGCAGAGGTTTACCAGTAAGCAGGATGTAATCAGGCACTACAACATGCACAAGAAGAGGGACAACTCCCTGCAGCATGGCTTCATGCGCTTCAGCCCTCTGGACGACTGCAGCGTCTACTACCATGGCTGTCACCTCAATGGAAAAAGCACCCATTACCACTGCATGCAGGTACACAACACAGTCCCTCTCCTCATCCTGCGCCCACACACCAACCTACAGTAAACCCACAGATGTGTACAGGGGCCATGGAGGCGGGTTTCTGTACACTCACGGAAATATCCACAATCATAGTTCCACATGATTCCATACTGTCCAAAAGCTTTGACACAAGTGACACGAAAGCAGACGATAACTCATAGAGAAACGAAAGCCTGTTTCTGCCTGTGAGAAATTGAAAGAAATATCAAATTTTCTTCGCAGAAGGTGAAAGAAAACAAAAAACATCAGCTGTAAACTGATGTGATTAAAAAAAACAATACAGTATTGGCATCTTTGACAGTTTCACATATTAATATAAGCAATGTTATCAACATTTTGTATTTAAAGAGTAGTCTGGCAAAATGCGTCCAGAAGTAAATCAATTTAAAATAAGACAGAGAGGATCTATGTGGGGCTGCTGGTGCTTTCCACACCACCTCGTTCTCTCACTCCTTAATTGGCCTGGATGAAATTCAGTTAGGTGTTTATATAAACTACACATTTTTCATCTTTTAGTACCAAGCAGCCTGGTGAGGATGATTCCCCCTTCTGGATTTGTTTAATTTTTTTCACATCTGCTTATTTTCAACGTGTCATTCTGCTGACGGCTTTCTGGTGAGCAGGGCAGCAGTGCAGCAGAGGTTGGCCTAAGTTATATACTTTTTTATGCCCGTCCAACAGCGTAATTGTTATTAAGATATTTCAGCCCTTGTTTTAACAGTCCCTGAGAACGTGCAGATGTTGGCATCGGCTCCCTTGATTTAAGGGGAAAAAGAACAGAGTGGCATTTTTTTCATTGTTTGACTCAATATGGAAAAGTTGCCCGGTTTGTGTGGGTGAAAATGCCACACATGATATACAATTGCTACTTTTAATTCAAACATTACCTGTTTTCTCTCTTCTTTGTTGGCCAGGAAGACTTGTTAGTACCAGAACATTTTAAACTAAAGACAAAGACAGTCATCTTAGTCCTGCATGCCCTCTCCACTTCTGAAATTTCTACTCACAGTTACAGTAAATTTGTAGCCACCGTCACACTCCAAATATGAATTTCACTTTCTAAAAGGCTGCTTTTCCAGGAAGAGTACTGTAGTTTCAGACCCGCTCAGATGCTTGTGCCTCTTTCAGTTACTCCTTTCCAATTGTCACAGTGATGACAAAGAATGTTTCCAATTCAGGGGTTTTACTTTAAACTTACAGTGCGTGCTTGTGCATTACCACAAATAAAATCGTGAATGTGAGAAAACAACCTTGTTCTACACATTTCTAGGCCACTAGCATTTTGTCAACCACAATGAGTTGTTTTCTGCAGAGCTCATACAGTATATCAGATCTTTTTAAAGCATGACATTTAGGCACACGCCTTTCTTCAAACCATTCTAGCAAACTGAAACTTACATGCATGCTCAGAGCCCAGATCTTATTTTCCATGACATTGCTTTGTCTACGCTATTCAGGTGGGGTGTAGCAAGGTGTACACCAGCACTTCAGACGTCATGACTCATGAGAACTTCCATAAAAAGAACGCCCAGTTGATCAACGACGGCTTCCAGAGATTCCGTGCCACTGAGGACTGCGGCACAGTCGGGTGTCAGTTCTACGGGCAGAAGACAACACACTTCCACTGCAGGTGACCTGACCCCCCCCCCCCCATGGAAACACTCAACCAACAAAACAGATGAGCCATTATATAAGCAATTCTAATTTTAAGGTTTATAAAAAGGCCTAAGTGATAACACAATTGTTTTAAATGGATCAACATTTAGAAGAAAACATAGAAAAAAAAGTTTAATCTCTGAAATGATTGTTGGATCTCTTGAATCATTATCACATTGTGAAATATTTCAATTTTTCAATTTCTTTCTCTTAGACGCCCAGGCTGCACGTTCACTTTTAAGAACAAGTGTGACATTGAGAAGCACAAGAGCTACCACATCAAGGATGATGCTTATGCCAAAGACGGCTTCAAGAAGTTTTATAAGTACGAGGAATGCAAGTATGAGGGCTGCGTGTACAGCAAAGCCACCAACCATTTCCACTGTATTCGCTCGGGCTGTGGCTTCACCTTTACTTCCACCAGTCAAATGACCTCCCACAAACGCAAGCATGAGCGTCGGCACATCCGCTCCTCCGGAGTCATGGGCCTCTCCTCTACCTTCCTGGCTCCAAAGGACGAGCCCGAGGAGTCCAGTAATGATGATCTGATGGACTTTTCGGCCATCAGCAGCAAGAACTCCAGCCTGAGCGCTTCACCGACCACCCAGCAGTCCACCACTGTACCTCATCTGATGACCACGCCCACCACTGCTGTCTCCTCCTCTATGTCGGGTCACTCCCTCAAGCCCACGCCATCACTGGCCAGCACTGGCCAACGCATGTCGAACCTGCTGACTCAGGCCCTGCCGAGCAACATGCCAGTGGCCCTGGCTCTCTCCAACAGCGCTCTGGCCACCTCCAACCCATTCTTCCCCATTATGCCCAGACTGCCTCTTCATCCTCCTGCACCAGCTGCTAGCCTGATATCCTCCACGTCTTCTGGGGGCCACTCCATGCCCACCGACTCGCTGAGCCAGGGCTCCTCCATTCTGTCGGGGGACGCAGCCATGGCCTCAACCCCAACCACAGCTTCCTTTGCCACCTCTTCCATTATGGAGAAGATCTCTGCCAGCAAGGGTCTGATATCACCCATGATGGCCAGACTGGCTGCTGCTGCACTGAAGCCCTGCAACAACCCAGACACAGGTGGGTCACCTCATAAATTATGAAAAAAATGATTTTATACTACATACTATAAAATACCTCCATGGAATAAAAAAAAAAAGCTCATTTGGTTTAATGAGAAAAATAGATATTATGAAAATAAGTAAGCTTTGCTTATTTTCTGACTATATTTAGGGACTGAAGTGTTCAAACATCAAAGAAACGGTTGAATTTTATTTGTGTGGAGTGATAGTCATGAAACAGTGAGCCTGTGTGTGTGTAAGGCTTTATTCCTTTTTCTGTCGTGGACAGAACAGGCAGGGTGCACTCAGAGGTCATCCCTGTAACCATCCCAGAGCGTAGAGAAAGGCAAAAGATCCTCTGCTTTCAGGCTTAAAGGGACATACCAGAGGCATGGTCCTCTGCCCTAGGCTTGTTATTGTGTTGATCGTTTGTTAGATACCCACAATCCATTTGGAGATAAATGCGCTGACAGGGGAGAGTAGAGCCTGTAAAAGTCTCTTATGATGTTCAGAGTGGGGGCTCTTGGGGCTTTGTCAAACATGTTTCCTCATCATTGGTCTCTTATCTCTGTCTGCGCCCGTTCCAAGCAAATGGAGGTGGAATGAAATTAAGTCAGAAATTGCAAGAAAAAAAATTTGTATCCGCTATGCAAACTGATAAAAAGAAGAAAAAAAAAACAAAACAGAAAATCACTGAGGCAGAAATGACTCAATGCACCAAAGCGAACGAACAGGCTTTGATACAAGACAGACACACTTGCATGCATCAGCAAATACACACCTTTTGAATTTCTAGAAACCGTCTGTTTTCACAAAAACATGTCAGAATCTATTTAGCATAAACACAGCTCACAAACATTTTTGGGAGGTAATTGACTCATTTATATTTACCGTATTGCTTCAAACAGAGTCCCTGGAAATGGAAATAAAGTTCAAGTATTCAATTTTGATAATGCGCCGCGGAGCGCGGTGTTGAATTCAGAGCAGTTGTTCAGTGCGAGCAGGTGGGACATGGATTTTTAAATGGGACTCCTCCGGATGTTGGGAATGGCAAGGATTATAATTCCTGGTGGTGCTCCCTGAGCAGGACAGGCCCGGGGAGGGAGCTGGGGCAGCTGCTCCAGGGAGGCGAGCTGAGCCCGGGCTGTCAGGCGGAGCTCCACCTCTGGGCTTCCAGCAGGTAGTCTGACTACTGTGAAGGCCCCCATTGAGGGTGGGGCCTCCACAGATGGTGTCTTCACCACCCCTTTCTCTGGCTCACTCACACCGCAGCGGTGTTCTCTGTTCGAGAAAAAAAGAAATGGTTTAAAATAATCTTCCCATTTTTATATCACACAGAAGATTTTTTTTGTAAATGTTTGCACGCACACAGGATGGGGGGTTAGTTGTGGTTTTGTTTCTCATATTTGCTTTATAAAATGTGTGAACAGGACATTTGGGGCTAAAATATGGAGGAAGTGGGTTTTCTTTCTCTGACAAAAAGGTATGAGAAAGTCAATGTGTTTGTGGCTATTTTTCACAGTGTTTATTTTCTGTTGGGTTGTGAAACTTTTTTTTTTCCTGTTTTCATCTTCACTATTTGCCTTTTTTTCTTTTTTCTTTTTGTATTAATGTTCCGCTCTAATTTACCCCTAAGTGTTTTACCCAGAGATTCAAGCATTTGAAGGGTTTACTAATTAGACACACAGTACAAATGATCTTTCACAAGCTCTGTATCTTATCCGGAGTAATTACATGGTGGTACATTATTCCTGGATAATTTCCAGAAAGAAGCTGCTTTGAGTCAAACTCATTTGTTCTTCCTTCTTTGGAAGAGAATTAAAAAAAAATTACAATTCATGAAGTGCATAAGAGAAAGAGCTCATTTTTTCAACATAATCCACCTTAAAGAGCAAACTTCTGTTCTGATTTAGTGAAGCAATATTTTATTCAGTCTGGTGATTATATGCAGATCATACACTGAGTGACTGCTCTTGATGTAATGCGCTCTCATTTTGTCTGGGAGTTGATTTAATTGTCAATGACAGGGGAGGATTTGTCTGGCTAGTTAATTTTGGATATACTCTTAACAAGTTGGGGGGAGGGATGGAGGGCTGGACAATGACTTGGTAAGCATTCAGTGACCTCAAACCAGACACAAAATTATTTGACTGCTGTTTTCCTTTTTGCTCCACCCCTGCCCCACCCCACAGCCCCTCCAACCTCAGTCTTTGTCAAACCCAACTGACACTGACACTTCCCCATCTCCTAGCTTTCAGCTGACAAGGACCAAGACTGGCTTTTCTGCTTCTATTCTGTCTGATATGTCTCTGGGTCATCTTGTAGCAGGGGGGGTGGGGGGACTCTGCGTGCTTTCCCCTCATTGTAGGATGGTCTTGTTTTTTTGTTTTTTTAATTTTCTTGTCTTATTCTATTGCAAGGAAAAGAAAAAGATTTTTACCAGGCAGAGGAACACACTCTTTGTAGGCCATGACCTTGCCACGTGTCACTATCCCTCAACACCACGCATGATTCCTAAGCAACGGATTTCTCACCAAACCGATAAAGGCTTCTGGTGCACTCCAATTTTAGTGTCTCAGAGGTTAGCCAGAGCCATCACACCTCCCACTCACATATATTTTTTAAGATAAACCACCACTTATTGTCAGCCAGAAGCTCAGCTTTCTCTGTATAGCCCCGGGGCAAATTAATATTTCAACCTCTTGGGAGTAGGAGGGGGGCAGAAATCACCTTCCTGTCAGCGTTTTTACCTCAGGTCGTCCCCGGGTGTTTATTTATTTCAATTCAGCTCTCTTGTCCACACTCACAGCTTTCACTGAATACCTATTTGGAGGAGACTGTGATCGAGAGGTCACACTATTTGAACCAATCTGATTGGCTGTCAGCTCCAATCTGACCGACATAGCACCCCTGTTCCTTATGGGTACGCTCAGTGGCAATGGCCGCTGTCCGTTGTCAGGCCAACAAGGAGGCTGGGAAGGTGGGAAGGGAGGGGGTGGCCAATCTCAGACTGCCACTTTCCCTCAGCATTAGCATCTCACTTAATGACCAGTTAAGAGGCAGCCTGGCAAATGAGTTGTGACAACTGCTGCAGAAAAAGGAGTCTTTTTCCCTCATATCTCCTGCCTCTCAATCACCGTTTAAAAGGCTTGACGGCCTGACATAATTTCACAATAATTATCACTTGGAGTATTCTTTTGGGGCCAGGACAGAAGTCAGATTGGATCTCGTCATGGGGTAATAATGCTGACCAACAATAACTTTGTCGTCTCCTCTCTCCTCTGCATTTCTTGCATGATCCTCAGGGAATGGGCAGCCGGGTTCAGCCAGCCAGTTCAGTCTGGTTCAAGTGAAGCAGGAGCCAGTGGACGCCAACTCTGGGGCTTCCCAAGACTCCGCACAGGAGCACAGCCTGGATCTGAGCAAGAAAGACCACAGGTACACAGACACAACCTACATGTCTCAAACGGGACAAATAACAATATTTGAAACTTAAGGAACATTAAACATAAAAGCAATTCATTTGAAATAATTACCTGATCTTTTTGTCTTTGTTTGGTCGATGTGGTTATATCAACAATTTTCCATCAAAATGATTCCAGTTTAGATAAACATTTACAAAATAATAACGTCATCATTAAATTGAGAATGGTGTTTACATAATCCCTCAACACCAATCTTACCTCCCCAGTAGATTCTATTTCTTGAGAAGACAGCATTTTTCTTTTTCATTATATTGTACACCTTGTGTGATAAATAGTAATATTTACTGTTCTCATGCAAATCTTCAACATTGTTCATTTTCCTTGTTCCAGCAATGAATCAAACGGACACCCTGTACCAGGGAATACATCTCTTTTATCCTCGCTTATGAATAAGGTAAGATCCATCTATCAAACTCCTTTCATCCCAAGACAAATTAGTGGGACACGGAGGGGCCTGTTTGTTTTTTAATGTTTCAACGCTAATAAGATGAGTTTGTATCATTTAAATTTTCCAGCCATTTTTCATACGGTGTAATTTTCACTGCACCTCTCACAAATTAATATAATGAAGCAGTAGCTGGGTGCCATGCCAGATATATAGAGATGTTTGTTTTTTGATGAGCTGTTCGGAACTCGCCTCCATTTTTTTCTCCCTCTTTATACTTTTTCCTCACTGCCTCACTCTACATTTATTTATAGAGTTTATAAATTATTTGATTAAAAAGTCAGAGGAAGAAAAACAAGAGGGCGCTGCCTTCATTTTTTAAGAGTCTAAATGTTAGCGTATGGAAATTAAAATGTGTGTATGTTTTTCTCAAGATTAAAATGGACATTTTCTTTGTCATATATCTTATCTGACGTGTACAAATGACACAAATACACCGGAGGGGGTTTCCATCAAATTCATGATGTAATGCCAGATCAGTCTCCGCTTTTTTCTAGTCTCACCAAGTGATCAAAACCTCCTCCAACTCTATATATGCTTCCCCTCTGCATAAACACATTACAATCTTTCTCTCTAACAGGGCACCTTAAATTCAGGGTTGAAATCATTTATCAAGGATAGAGGAGTTGTTAAAAAATTCAATTGTTGTTGTGTCACACTTTGAGCGTTTGTTTCAAACCACCACGTCACATAAAAGGGTTAATAGAGGGCCCAGGAGAACGCTTGGTAAATACGCTTGGCTTGAACTCAAGCAAAAGCCTGGATGTCTGTAATTCTAGTTGCTCTTTTTTGTTTTGCCAAATCCTGTACATACGCGTTCGTGTGTGTTTGTTCACTCACCCTCACTGACATATGCAAGAGCTGGCAATTACAAATGCGCCTCTAACACGACGGCGGGTTGTTGTGTGTGCTGGGTTTCGTAGATGTCACAGGTGAACCCTGCCCTCTTCAACGCCATGAACCTGAAGACAGAGTTGGAGGGAAGCCAGGGCACCGACACTTCGGAGGCGGCTCAGTATCTGAACAGAGTGCTGAAGAGGCCCCTGCAGGAAAAACCCACTGAGATCTGGAGGACATACCTTCGCAGGTAAAAGAAAGTAGAGAAAGCACAATAGAAAGAAAGATAGATTTCTCTATATTACAGATTACTCACTATTCATTTTGATAGTGAAAAACACTCAGAGCGTTAGAATGCACTGTCCCATTGAGGTCTCTTCCTGTAAACACAATTTCTCACATACGTTACGGCATCACTGAAAAACCCCGAACGGTACAGAATCTGCTCCACTGGAATTTGGCACGACTTACAGCACGCAGGGCCAAAAAGCGTTTATTGTCACACGAGAAGTCGAACCGGTTCTTTTTTCTTTTCGGTGTTTGTTCAAGAAAGAACTCAATGTACAGTTTTCCCTCTTTGTCTCTGACAGATTTGACACGGATGACTTTTGCGAGGCTCATTGTGACTTCCTCCAGAAAGTGCACTTCCATTGCCTGGTGGAGGATTGTGGTGCACTCTTCAGCACTGTGGATGGGGCCATAAAACATGCCAAGTAAGCATCAGACAGGTTTTAGGATTACACTCCTGTTTTGGTCATACATACATAAAACAATGGGATTGAATCTACTTTCAGCTTCCACCTGCGAGCCACCTTAAAAGTGAAGTCAGAGCCTCCCTTCGCCGACGGGAAAGAATCCAGCGAGGCAGCCCCGCTGCAGCCGGTCGCCCCTGTCTCCATGGCCAACAATCACTCCATGGATGTGGCACAACTCACGTCCTCCGGTGGCTACAGCTCTCCCCCTCCCTCCCTGCTGGCCTGGAAGCAGCTGACCGGCAGCATCCCTCAGATGCCGGCCTCCATGCCCAACCTGCCCGCTAATTCTCCTCTGGCCACCACCTCTCTGGAGAATGCTAAGCCGCAAGTCAAACCTGGTTTTCTGCAGTTCCAGGAAAAGTAAGTGAAAATAGCGTGACTTTTGATAACATTTTTTTTTTTTTTCCCCTTTATTTTTGACAAGATCTTAATAATCCATGGGTTCCATTTTCTTTATCCAGTGATCCATGTTTGGCTACCGACTGCAAGTACTCAAACAAGTTCCATTTCCACTGCTTGTTTGGGAACTGCAAGTATGTGTGCAAGACCTCTGGGAAGGCCGAGTCCCATTGTTTGGACCACATCAACCCCAACAACAACCTTGTCAACGTTCGCGACCAGTTTTCCTACTACTCTCTTCAGTGTCTCTGTCCCAACCAGGTGAGAGCAGCTTGATAACTCAGCCAGGGAACTGTCTGACTGTCATCTCCCAGAGGTTTCTAAGCATGAAGTATGCTATCTATTAGACCAGTATTTGAGGTTATTTGACTCAAGGCTTTCACAACCACTGCTCCCCATCTTCCATCTCTGCTGGGAAAGACAGTCGACTCACCCCAGTAATGCCTGTTTATATGTCAATGATGTCATTTTGACTGCCGCATTCTCCTCTCAGAAAAGGCCAATTTAGCTGATATTACCCAATAAATCATTGTCACTTGCACAGTAAACAAGGCTGTCTGGAATAGGGCAAAAATCAGGGGAATGCTTTGCAAATGAAACCTAAATGGCAGCCCCTGCCTGCTCTCATGGGCCCATATTTGGAAAACGGTTTAAATGAATTCATTAATGTGTCGAAAATCACCCCTCTCACAAAAACTCTCCCCTCCCTTCCACTCCCCTTCTTTCTCCCTTTAGTCTCCATCTCCTGAACTGAGCAGATCTTATTTGGCCCAGTCCTCTGGGACCTGGGCCTCACAGACAGATGGTGGTGTACAGACATGTTAGAGAGGATGGGTGTTTGTGACAAGCGTGGAAGAGGAACGCAACTGTACATAGAGATGTGGGATAATCAAAATAGCCATAAAAGAAAAGCGTCATATGCTAATGTTAATTTGGACTTTTCACGCAAGATGTATTGAATTAAAGAAATAATTCCTTTGGCTTTTAGAAAATCACCACTATGAAACTGAGAAATGTTTTGTCTCCACGGCAGCAATGTGAGTTCAGAATGAGGGGCCACTATCACTGTCTGCGACCCGGCTGCTACTTCGTCACCAACATCACCACCAAGCTGCCGTGGCACATCAAGAAGCACGAGAAGGCAGAGCGCCGTGCCGCCAATGGCTTCAAATACTTCACTAAGAGAGAGGAGTGCGGTAGGCTGGGTAAGAGGAAAATTGCCTGTTTTCATCCGCTTCCCCAAAAAGACATGCAACCTGTCTTGTGAATCACAACATTTTTGCAATGAGGGATATGTGGATTAAAGGTGTTACACTGAGCAAAATGTAGATTGATTTGTACTGGCTGTTGCAAGAGAATATTCTGTGTTTACAAAGGGAGAGAGACCAGTGTTGGCAAACACGGTGCCGTGCTTTGTGAGTGGTTTAAGGGGCATGAAACAAGGCTGCCTCGTGTTTTTCGCATATTCACAATGGCACCTCAAGTCCCAAAGGAAGTCTTGCCTGTACTACTATATGAGCAAAGAGGGCAATCACATCCAGGTTGTTTTCCTCTTTCTTTTGCCCCTGTCAGAAATGAGCAATTAGGTTTGTGTTTGTTAATTATCTGGCTTGTCTAGTTTAGCCTGTTTGTGTTGTGAAGCTGCGCCTCACAGCCACTGCTGCCATCACGCAGAAATGAATTAAAAGTGATCTGTTTTTTTCAGGCGGTTACACAAGCTTTTCAGAACACGGAAACAAAGCAAACAAAACCAGGCCCTAAACAGCTGTTTTTTGTCCCCAGCCTGATCTGCCAACTGTATTGTTCAGGCTGGGGGAAAAACAGAAAGGATTACCATCGCCAGCACTCCAGTCATAAAGAATTGATGGGTTGCCAGTATCCATGGCAGCGACATTAAACTGAACACCACTGATGATGTTACCTGGTTTCTGTCTCACAAAGGGGCCTCTGTGTCACAGGGGTTACTGTTATTTGCTCAACTTTGCGTGTCTAAAACACTGTGTGTGCAAAAGCTATTTGATGACACAGACATGTTTTTCTCTTAAACTGGGTGCCATGGTTACTTGCATGCTAACACCTGCCCAGCATGTTACTCTTTCAATTATTTCTGCCTGCTTTTATATAATGGTATTTGATTAACAGGCACAAAATGGAACAATCATTTAATTTGAAATCATAAAGCAATTAGAGCCAGACTGGTTAAAACTAGAGAAAAGAACGGAAGACCATGATGCAGACAGTAGAACAATGCCGAACAAAAGGAGAAATGACAATGGAGATACTTTGAGAAATGAATTTAATATGGTAATAATCGTATATTTACTTTGGTTTGCAGGGATGTGTGCATTATTGGCCCACAGAAAATGAGAATTTATTTATGTAAATTCCTAATTGAATAAAGCATGTCAGTGTAATAAAAGAGCTCCACAGGTTTAGTGCACAGAAGCCTTGACTTGCTCAGTGTGACACCAGTGATCTAATATTCCTCCTACATGTACACTCAGAAACACTTTGAAACCCGACCCCTCTTTTGTCAGCGCTATATCATGAAATTAAGAAAAACTAAAAATATTTCATGTTGTGTTTGATCTAATCATGACACCCTCACACCCATAATATTGCCTTTAGCACTGGAGCTGGTTTTGGGTGCCTCGCAATGAGCCAAAGACAAATTCATCCGCAAATCGAGAGTGTACAGCTGTCACTGTTTTCTCATTGGCAGGTTGTAAGTATAACCAAGTCAACAGCCACTTCCACTGCATCCGAGAGGGTTGCCAGTTCTCCTTCCTGCTCAAGCATCAGATGACCTCACACGCACGCAAGCACATGAGGCGAATGCTGGGGAAGAACTTCGACAGAGTCCCATCCCAGGTACAGACGCACAAACAAAACCTGAATATCTCACACACCCACTTTTTCTTAAACACAGGAGCGTTAAGCGGCATTTGTTTATTAAGAAGAATAATGCGTGTCTCTATGACTTGTGTACCTATTACCTATTATTAAATGTTTTATTCAAACATTGTTTCCTGTTCAGTGAGTCAGATTCAGGGAAAGCAGTTTGTGCGGTTTTCTTCTGTAAAAGAAAGGGAGTACCATTCATATCCTGTCATACCAGACAACAACAAATTGTTCAGAACATTCTTTTGTATAGATTTTTCACACCGGATTGAGCACAGTTTTCTCACTTAAGCTCCGGAGTACGGGGCTTATGTGAGAAAACTGCTGATTTTCCAGTTCTGTTTGTTCCTTTTTTTTCCTTTTGTATCAGGCACATGACAGAAATATGAGGTTAATGTGTTGGAAAATACTTTTGACATACTGAGAAATTCTTGTTTTTAAGCCAAGAGCCAACGCCTGCACGGATGACTCATTATACCCCAAGTCGTTTGTTTCAAATGTTCCTTTACAGTAAAGATGACTTGTTTCCCAGGTAATGCCGCTCGGCCAGCGGGCAGACGAGATGCAGCACGCAACCAGTTTAGTGTCTGGGCCAATGTCGGCGCAGCCTGGCTTCACCTCCAGCTTCTCCTCTGGTGTCATTGATGAGACTGATGACTACATGGACTACATGGGAGGAGGAGGCAGCCCTTTAGGTCTCTCATCTGAATCTTCCAACCAGGACAGAAGCTGCACCAGCACACCTGTGGGAAACGATAGTTCTCCAGCAGGTGAGGACAGCCCTGGTAAAATAGCCCAGACGGGTCAGCACGTTGACCTTTCATTCTTTTAAAGATAAATTCTGGTGGTGTATTTTGGAAATTGCCTCACACCCTCAAACTGTACTAAGAAAGCCAGTAACATGTTATATTATGTGTTCCTCGGCCTTTCAAAATTCAGCCGTTTGACTTAATAATCAATAGACACATAAGTCATAGTATACGAGGTTGATGACAATGCTTTTTTCTTATATATTGAGTCGTGGACAAGACATTTTGCAGTTTGCCTGGTCATCGTAATAAAACCTCCATTCTGTACATCAGTGGTCTGAGTTATTGCTCGGAATGGAGCTTATCACATTTTCCTTTTGCCAGAGATCATCATCCCTGTGGCTATACGTCTGCTTTATGACATTTAGTTGGTTGGTTTGTGGGAGAAATGAAAGGAAAAGAAAAACTGTCTTTTTTTTCTCAAACCCACTGAGCAGATTCTCGTCTGTTTTTACCAAAGCTCAGCCTGGCTATTATTCTCACATTTCTTCACTAGTTGCCAGAATTATCCACTACTCTCATCATTGTCGTTTTGGCTGGTGTTTGGGTTACTTGTCTTGAGTGGGCCTCATTTTGTATCATTCTCTTATCTTTTATCTTTCCCTTTTTACCTCCCATCCTCGCGTGCGTGTGCGTGTGTGTGTGTTTGTGTGGGCGTGTGTGTGCGTGCACGTCTGATTTTGCCCCTGTTTTTGTGTGTCTTTTTTTCCCCCTTCTCGCCTGTCCTTCACCCCCTTTTGGTCAACCTGTCTCTCCAGGACAAGGCTACCCTGCCACCACTTCTGCTCCTACCACCCCTGCTGACACTAGCGCTACCCAAAACGCACCTCCTTCCTCCCCTCCTCCACCACCTCCTCCACCACCACCGCCACCGCCACCTCCTCCCTCCGCTCCTCAGCCTGGCCCCCAGTCCCAGGCCCCATCCCTCTCTCCCGCTCTCCTCCGACCCGCTCTCCCCTCACTCCCATACCTCCTCTCTCCATCCTGTCTGTCATACTCTCTGCTCAGCGCCTCTCTGGGAGCCACTCGGAGTGTTGTCATGCCAACCAACACACCAGCTTTCAGCCCCATCATTGCCACTCCGTCTCCGGTTAAAAATGACGTCCCTATAGTGCAGGATGCTGCAGGTACTTATCCCCGGCGCAAAACCAACACTGCAGCTGTCACTCTCAGTTACCGACTTCTGTGCAGCCTTTATCTGTCCGATCCAGCATTTCTCTACACGAACCTAACGGAGAGATGAAAAAAAAAAAGAGGCATGCAAAAACTGAAAAATGTGTATGTGACTATGATGAAACATTACAATTTCAACAAAAAAAAAAAACGTGTAGATATGATCCAATGACACCTTTGTGTGTGCTTTCATCTCTGGCATTTCTCTGATTAAGAGATAGAGCCGTGAATCCGGCATCTGTTCTATGAAGCCTGGGCCTTGTTTAGTTTCCATTAACAAGGCTGTATCAGCAGCTTCTTATTTTAATCACGCCTCAAGTTTTATCGAGACCCACTGCTTCCTGTCTTGCCGAACAGGGATCACATCATTAGCAGTGACCCCAGGGTGTTAGGAAAGGTGGGTGCCCCTCATAAAACAACAAGGAGAGAAGAGGGTTCAGACTCACGGCTCCGTCTCTGTTTGGAGGCTGGAGACACCCTGTAAAAGTGTCATGTCCCGCAGTCAATTTATCATTTTCTCCCCTCCTTTAATCATTTTAGGAATTAAAAATAAAAAAAAAACAAATTGTGGCTCTCTGTGCTTACTCAGCTGCGAACCACTTTAGGCTGAGTCAAGTTTAACACAAGCGTTTTGACCCGGACACTAATTTCCTTGTAGTTTGTGGGTTTTTACTTTGTGAGCCGACTGATTAATCTTTAATGTCCCTCCCTCCCTTTTTTTTTTTTTTTTTTTTTTTTTCCCGGCAACCCCATCTCCATTCCCACACCCACAGGTGCAAAAAAGCGCTTCTGGATCATCGAGGACATGTCGCCGTACGGCAAGCGCCGCAAGACGGCCTCGTCCCGCAAGATGCTGGACGAGGGGATGATGCTGGAGGGCTTCCGCCGCTACGACCTGTACGAGAACTGCAAGGACTCGGGCTGCCAGTTCTCCCTGAAGGTGACCCACTACCACTGCACCCGCGAGAACTGCGGCTACAAGTTCTGCGGCCGCACCCACATGTACAAGCACGCGCAGCACCACGACCGCGTGGACAACCTGGTCCTGGACGACTTCAAGCGCTTCAAGTCCTCGCTCAGCTGCAACTTCCCCGACTGCCAGTTCTCCGGCAACAGCACCCACTTCCACTGCCTGCGCTGCGGCTTCCGCTGCACCGACAGCACCAAGGTGACGGCCCACCGCAAGCACCACGGCAAGCAGGACGTGATCAGCGCCGCCGGCTTCTGCCAGTTCAGCTCCAGCGCCGACTGCGAGGTGCCCGACTGCAAGTACAAGCTCAAGTGCTCCCACTTCCACTGCACCTTCCCCGAGTGCAAACACACGGTGGTGGGCATGTCCCAGATGGATTCCCACAAGAGGAAGCACGAGAAACAAGAGCGGGGCGAGATTCCGTCGGTGTCCCCGAAACAGGAAGGGACGCACCACCTGGCCGGAAACGTGGCGGCCGTCCCTCCGTCCTCCATGGCTCTCGCCATTTCCTCACCCGCCGGGTTCCACAGTTTGCCCCACAACATCAACAGCAGCGCCCCCTCCATGCTGTACCAGACGGGGGGCATGGGCTCCGACTACACCCACCCGTACCAGCCGTCCCCCATCAGCCTGGACAGCTCCCTCAACCTGGGCACCGACAGCAGCAGCTCGCTCTTCTTCCTGAAGAACGCGGCCGGCCTGGGCCTCAGCGACTCGCTGGACCTCAGCAAGAGGATCCACCACGAGGCCGCGCGGCTGGGCCACGCCACCGGCCCCCCGCCGGGTCTGCACACGGCTCAGGACGACACCACGGGGACGTCCGGAGAGGCCGAAGACGACATGTCGCCAGAGGAGGAGGCACCTGCCGAGGAAGACGATGACGATGAGGAGGAGGAGGAAGAGGAGGAGGCAGAGGACGAGCTGAACAGTGACTCTAATGATGATTCGATGGCAGAGCCCGACGGCGAGAAGGACAATGGCCAGAGTTTTGATGCTTCCGTTAACCCCACTGATGCTTCCCCATTGGAAAAGCGAGATGCAGACCCATAAAAAAAAGACAAAAACAACAGTGACTGTAGGAACTGCAGACAAATCCTGTGTACTATGAATTAACTAAAATGAAAGTGGCCTCATCCATCATGCTTAGAGACTTAAGATGACAACGACAAAACAACAGCGGCGTGGAGAAAACGACGGCCCAAAATGATTTATCATGATGTTTACACGATGACCAACATTATTAATTCAATTATGCATTAAAAAATATGAATGGAGACACACAGAGTTAGGCCCTGTTTTACACGAGGGGCAGCAATGTAAAGCATTTTACTACACATCAGTCTTTTTGTGTGTGTGCATGTTTGACTTTAATTTATTTTCATTTTTTTCACTGTTTTGTGTGTGGGAAAAAAAAAACACATTAGAAAAACAAAAACAAATCTCTCTATATAACTATATATGTAAGTGTGTGAGTGTGTGTGTGTGTGTGTGTGTGTATGAACGATGATATTCAAAAGGAAATTGCTGGCACAGGCTACATGAACTGCAGGGCTGTGGACACATAGAAAAAAGGGACATGAATCACTAAGGGAAACAGGACGTGTTTCGGACATTTAATCATTTTTCTGTATTATTAATAATATTAATATTATTATTGGTTAATATTATTAGAAAATGAGATAAAGGGGTAACATTTTTGTTCCCATCTCTTTGGTATGCTTTTTCTTTGTTCTCAGTAAAAAAAAAAAAAAGTGGAATTGACCAGTAACCGTCTGGTCAGTCTCGGCTGCGGCCGGGCATCCAGCAGGCCGCCGGCCTCACAGTTCTCTCCGACATTCGCTTGAAACGTTCAGCTGGCACCACCTCCAACAGTAACCCATGTACTTTTTCACCCCTTCGTGGAGGAAATCGAATTTGCGCGTGGATAGTGCACTTTTATATTAGCTGACCATGATGATAGCGGTGATGATAGATACGTTTTGAGTATATTTAAAGATATTTTTGTTACCATTTGCATCTTTGCATTAAAACGTTTTGTTGTGCTGTCAGTCAGAAGCATATCGATCTGGAAGCAGGCGAGGTCGGGATTAATGGCTGCCCGGTGGGATGGGGTTAAGCAGGGGCAGGGTGGGTGGTTGAGGGGTGGGGGGGGGTGATCAGATTGACCAGAGGAAACGAGGAGTCTCCCAGAGGCGGCAGGTTGGACGACAGAGGAAGCGTCAGGGAGTGTGTTCTATGTTGAAAATGTACAGACCGAAAATGTCTCAATGGCATTTTGTTTTCCATTCACTATGGCTGTGGTTGAGCTCTTGTTGTTAACAGTTTTTATTTAATATTTATGTGACCTTCCAATGAGAAATTTTTAGGGTGTTATTGCACTTTTTAGGTTCATTTTTACCGTCTGAAAAAAAAAAGAATGATATATATCTTTTAACAGGGAATTTGCTTTAAAGATGTTGTTTTAGTTCACTTTTGCTTTGATGCACAAATAGATGTTAGTGTGACAACAAACTCTTGTTCTGTGGTTTATTTAAAGGTTTTCATTTTTGCTTCTTCTATGATTGGACAGTTTGAAATTTAAAAGAAAAAAGAAAAAAAAAAGAAGAAGGAACTGTGGTGCACCAGAAAAAGAGCACCTCAATACAAAACACTAAAATAATTCTTAAGAAGTTTATAGAAACGCCTACTTAATGTAGTACTAAATTATGAATCTGTTAAACCACCCTCTGGTTTTTATTGATCAAATATGTACAACTGAGGAGTGGACACACTGAATTATGTCCTGAGCTTGACATTGGAAATAAAAGATCACAATATAGGGAATAATAATGTGTGTAGATGATATTCCTTCCAGATATTGTTTTGAGAAGAAAAAAAAAAGGTTGTACAGTATTTTCCTCTGTAAAAATAACTATATATGAACAAAATGCTCTTTGATGAACAGCTTCCTTTAAAAAGAAAACCCTTAAAAGGAGAAATGAATAATAAAAAAGTAAAAAATTCAAATAGCCTCATGATAGTTTGCTTGTGTGATTTTTTTTTAATAACACCCAAAGATGTTCATGCTTCAGCAGGTGCAGATTCCAGGTTTTGTAGATTTGTTTTCTTCCTTTTTTCCAAACTCTGTCAGAAGCTCAAGCTCAAATACATTGATTTGAATTCATTCACTGATGTTTCTTGATTATTTATTGTCTCTTTTTATTCACTGTGTTTTTTAACTCAATTCTATATTTTTTTTGTGTTGTTTTTTTTTTGGGCTCACTAACTTAAATTCTTGGTTTGTTTTTACTTTACGTAGATCTGTTTCCTGGGACAATGTAGCAAAGCAGAGGCATTACTGTAATTATTTTTTTTTTCTCTTCATTTGCTGACATAAATTGTAGGGGGCTGGGAGGCATCATGCACTTGAATTCAGTTTGTGTGCGTGTGTGCGCGTGCGTGTGTGTGTGTGTGGCTGTAAAATAGCAGGATCTGTAAAAAGTTGAAAATAAAGAAACCATAATTATTATGACAGAGAACATGTCCTGTTTGACGGTGATCCGGCCTGAGGACATGAGGGAGCGCGTGTGGAGGGGAAAGGTGCCGTTCACAACAACAGGCCAGAGGGTCACCATGGCAATCGGTGTCAGTCAGTGATACCACTGAAGTGTGTGTCTGCGTGTGTCTACACTGAGAGACTGTAACGGCAGACGTGTGTTTTCAAATCAGCCACCTCATCGTGTTTTTTTTTGCTTTTTCTGCCCTCCTAGAAATCCAACATGATCACATTTTTCTAAGAGTTAATAAGAATTGGGCAGTCTGCCGCCATTAACAGTGTAGTTCTCTGCATATCTCATCGCTAACAGGGCCCATTTATTATCACTTTATTCTGTCTTTTTTATTTCCCTAAAGACATGTGCTTGGTATTTCTCCCCGGTGTTATCCAGTGGCCGGTGTGTTGCCTGCCTGTCCCCTTATCTACAGCTGTTGCTGTCCTTCCTTCTTCTCTTCCTCGTGATTATTTTAATAAAAAAAAAAAAGAGGGGGAAAAAAGAACATGGGTAAAGGCATCACCATCTGTCAGCCAGCTGGTATCCTGTATGTAATCTTCCAGAGTAGAAAAAAAAAAGAATAAACATGAAAATTATATTACACAAAAACCAGACGGAAACGACCTACAAAACCTGCATAGGCTGCTGCTGAAAACACAGATCATTACTGCTTTAATTAACACAGTGAAAAGGATGGTATAAAACACTGGTTGGGAAATATACAGAGATCTTTTTTCACTCCAGGAAAAACGCGGAATGAAATCTGCCTGTTTGCTGCGGAGCCACGAGTCCACACAAAAACAATATAGACTTTATAAAATATATTGCGCTGTGAGACTAAAAGCTATCTGCCATTAGCATTCAGTCTGGCTAGATTTGTGAGTCATCTTATATGAAAAACCGTCTAACTTAGCTGTTCGATTAGAACTATACATTCTAATCAAACTGCTTGGTTCCATTTGGATACAGTGCTGTTCATCTTCATTGTGTTATATTAGTGTTTTCCTTCTAGTTTGCATGAATGATGCCAAAACTGAACTTTGCACTAAATAAATAAAACAAATACTTTAACTTTAGGCCTTTTACAGTGACAAAAAACCACTCCTCCTCCAGAGGTAACTTTGTTTTTTCGCAAAAAAAAAAAGTCAGAGGTATCATGAGTGCGAACCGTACGCCTGGTGGCTGTGAGCTCTGTTGTGCCAAAGCTGACACGCAGTTGGTTGATGTGCCAGGAACAGGTTGAGTGAGTGTGCGAGCCGTGTGGAGAGGCAACAGTTGAGGCTGGGAACACACACGACAGGTGTGTACCGCATATGTGGTCACATGATGCCTATAAAGCAGATTAGGGCCCAAACAGATGAAGCACTGCTTAATGGCAGCTTTTATTAAGTTCACAAAGCGTGGAGGGGTGGGGTGGGGAGTGTGGGGGTTGAACAGAGGAAAAGCAGGTGGCCGGGCTTGTGCACTTCTAGATGAAGACAGATATTGTACGGCGGAGCCTGAAGAGGGTAGCTGCTGTGGAAGGATTTATGGAGATTTGCCTGCCCTGGACTCACTGGCTGCCTGTTCCCCAGTCCCGCAGTAATAGACAGGGCTGGAAGAGCTACGGGAGAAAAATGTGTCGGCCATCAAACCAGAGCGTGTGATCATAGAAGATGAGAGCAGAGCTAAAATGAAACAAGGGGATAGTTTGTCGGGTAGAACAAAAGCAAGGAAGAACATTTACAGTTACAGAACAAATTACCTGAGTGCATGTTCATGTGTTGCCATAATTAAAGGTTTACACTGCTGCCACAGAAGGGAAATAAAAAACAAACAAGGTATGTATGTATTAAGATTATGTGCGTGGCCTAAAGAAATACACAGCCACTTTAGTTGAGGATATTTTGGTCTTTATGAAACCAATGAGAGTGGCATTTGCAGTCTTTTTTCCCCTCGCATTTTCCATATTACGAATGTTTATGTGGTCAAAGGTCACATCAACATTCCCCTTTTTTTTAACTGAATGTACTTTACAACGGGATGGCTGCCAACAATAAATACTTCCTACAAGGCTCTGGATTCAGGCCACACATCTATCAGAACAACTTAGTGCAGTCCATACATCTCAGCATAAGCTGTCTTCGGGCTGACACTTCACTAAAATCGACAGTTTCGGGTTATTTCATCTGCGTATGGCCTTCTCCTTCCTTATAAAAATCTCTAAAAATCTAAATAAATTGCTAGAACCTGTTTTTCAGTTCTAACAGGCAAAAAGGACTTAATAAAGACAGAATCCATGATTTTAATATCAATGGATACTTTTTTAACCAGGCTTTTGATTGACGGATGTAACAACTAACGTCAGCTAAATGTGAGCTTTTACAATTAATGATTTCGCCCACAACTCATGTATTTTGATCTCAGTTTTGGCCAAATCAACTGTTTAAAGTGCAAAAAGCAGGTTGCAGTCGCAAACAGCTTTTTAAAAATTTATTTTAACCTGATTCTTTTGGACAGTACCCAGATTTTGTGGCCATA